TCAGGATATAGTGAAAGTTTCAGCAAATTCCATTATGTGCCATCATAGGCAGCTGTTTTCATTCAGCCCGCCTCAGCTCCACCCACACTCCACGTATTTGCTTATTTTTGGATTAAGCAGGACTGCCAACATGGCAATGACCAGAGCCGACCACACGGAGTCGACCACACTGAGCTTCACAAAGACTCTTCAGAAACCTACTGGTGATGTCACAGACACTACATCCATTTTTAGTTTTACAGTCTATGATCACTGCCAGCTGATTACTAACTGAGAGGCCTATATGAAGCTCTGCTTGGTAGCCAGAACTGTGGCCTCTGTTGAGGGGCCTGTTCCCTGTACAGAGAATGTGCCTTATCATGATTTATTTACACAAGCTTCTTGGATCCCAGAAGGGTGTCTACTCATTATTAGCCATTGTATATCAGCTCACTGTAGCCAGTAGTGTGCCACATATCTTCCTCTCGAGTGTTCGTGAAGTATGCTTTCATCCCTGACTGTGATAAATTTTCCATCTGCAGAGAGGCATCCCAGCTATTGTTTGTGGCATCTCGCTGAAGCAAAGAGTGAATCATGCAAGAGGTGAAAGGCTAGAGTTCTGCCAGCAGCACAGAGAGACGCGGCAAAAACTACACTGCATTATCACAGCCAGCTGATACTGTCGCATGTGGCCAACCTGGTGAGCAGATGGTGCTCCAGGTTCTGACCATGCAATATAGCAAGGAATTGATTGAATTTTACTACTGTATGTAAGAGGAGATTTAAAAAAAAAACTTTTTTATTCAGATGTGTCTTTTTATCCCACTTTTTTTTACCTGTCTGCAACCAGTTCTTTTTATAGGTACATGGCCATTTTTCCCTTCTGGCTCTGAAATAGACTTTGCAGAGAAGAGCCTCCTGTTCCATAAAACAGGACTTAAATGTCATCAGTTTAACACTATAAAACGGATCAACAGAAAAGGTGCCCTGATTTTGAGCAGTAGATATTCCCTCATGAAAACCATCTTTTACATGAACTATGAAGAATGGGGCTACTGCACAGTCCACCTTTTATTACATAAGTGCTTTATATTCCCACTAAAACTTCAATCCACTGGAACCACTACTTCTATTTTACAAAAATTGACAAGACAACTTCAAGTAAGGATCCCTTTACCCAGGGCAGATACATATAATACAACATATAGCTTATGCAAACATTACAGACAGTCTGGACAATCTTGTGCTTGGTGAGACACTCATAACCTTTTAAATTGTTTATTTTCTTTACTTAGCAAACCTTTGCCTTACAGTTTTATGTTTTATGATCGATGCAATAAAAATTTAATGGAGAATTAATGGAGAGGGGAGATGTCTACTATAATAAGCCACTGTACAGGAACAGGAACCTGTGTTCACCCTTTCATACCAAAGGTATGCAAGGTTACAGTAGAACACCTTCCCACAGCACTTTTGACATGTGTCAACATCTTAAAAAGATGTCCAGTGACCTGTTTTGACCATACACCTAAGAAATGTATATAATATATACATATATATAATATAATCTTCTGACACATCAAAATACCCCTGCTTTAAAAAAAAATCTTATCTCTCCTACAACTATTTACATTGTGTCACCTCTAAAGAGGTTTAGTAACAAACCAAATTTCTTTGTGTAGAAGTAATGACACATTAAATTTGATATAGATTATTTCATTACTGTCTTGTGAATGCCACAAAAGATGGTGCAATATAGCTGGTCTGCATTAAAAAGGTAATTTTACTCTTCATTAGTCAGAGCCATCATGTCTCCAGTGTTTGGGTTACATTACAGTACGGAAGACATTTCTACACCTGTTCGGTTCATTAATACAGTTTCAGTCTCTTACATAATTTTTTGGAAGTTGGAACAACAATGGAAGAAATAGTCTATTGTTTGATCCCAGTTTGATTACTGATTGACTATGAAGATTTTATCCCCTAAAAATAACAAAAAATATATTCAGAGGGGACAAAATCCTCTCTAATTGGAAGTCTTGTGGTCTATTGTGCATATATTGTGGAGGTCCTTGGCATGAAAAGGTTCCCCCTGCTTTAAGAGACTGATGAAGGGAGCAATGTTACTTTTCCATGTCTAAAAAGGGCAAAAAAAGTCATTTTGAGGGACTTTTTGCCAAATAGATAAACCCAGACCCAGACAAAATGTCCAAAACATTCCGTTAACATTTTTATAACAGTCAGCAGGCCATCATCAGCTCAAGGATAGATCATTGTCACATTTTACTGACTGTAGACAGGAACTTTGAAAACAGCATTTCAGACAGGAACAGACTACAGTTGGTCAATGAGACGATCTGTCGAGTCAGACTACAGTCATGCTTCCTCCTTCACCCAACAACAAACAGGTTTCTCTCCCTACTTCTGCTATAGCATGAAAGCAAAACTGCATTTCTTCATGAAGGCCATTTTCAAGAAATTATGCCTTTCCCCAGAATAGATACAGCTTATTGCATGTGGAAAAGACTCTCTCCTGACTTAGAAAAACAACAGACTTGTGTCAGTGCCTCAGAATCTTCTGGTTTTAACTTTGCTATGAATTTCATAAAGCTTGTCAATCCTCCCTATGAGAACTGCCTGTGCAGAACACCGACTTCCCAGCAAATTTATTAGTTTGGAGTGATGAACAAGTTGTGGTGGATGGGAGAATGTAAATTGATTTCTGGAGCCATGAGATAAACAGCAACATTTATGTCATCTGCAACCCACAGCACCTAATGATTTGATTAAACTGTTTGCATAAAGCTGCAGTCAATCTCGTCTGCTGTTAATATTTCTTTTGATTTTATCTTCTAGAACAGTCTTCTGGTCAGATGCTGCTGTATTTGGGGAAGAAAACTATTTAAAGACAATGTGTTACAGTTCTTTCATTCAGCTCATACACTGAAATTGGATGTCCTTAAACAAAAAAACTTAATAATTCATATTTCTGTCTTTGGCAGCCTGCACACATGCACAGCACATAATTATCTTCTTGTCAAGGATTCAAACAGCTGTGTTGGTCAGGAAAACAAAGTTGTAAAAAACACTAAGGCTATCAAGTTTCACAATAGCTATCCACTGCAGTGTGCTGCCAAACATATTTATATTTATTCCTAGAAAAACAAGAACCACTTTAGCAAAAGTCGACAGAAAACAACACAGCAGGCCAGCCAAGACTCTAAACCAATACAAACTGACTGCGTGCCTGGTGGAAGATATCTTCGACACTGTTGGCTCACACAATACCTGCACATATGGCACAGAAGGAACATTTAGCAGTTTTCAAATAGGATCATCAGCCATTCAAAAAAACAGCAAAAAAACAAATGTTTAGGCTTGTTTAGAGCTTTTCTGAATCATCTCTGGCCGCTACTGGCATGTCTTGGCGCTGGGTGTTGTTCATTTGTACTGGGTCAGACTCAGCTAGAGAGTGGTCGCAGGTGGCTTTTGAGACTTTATTAGGAGCATTAGGCTTTCAAGGGAACTGTTCCCTCAAGGCCAGGCACATGCATTTTGTGACATGATCCGTTAAGGAAATCAGTGGAAGAAATGCCTAATTCATTTTTCTGGCAAGTCGAAATGCCCTAATAAGATCCAGCTAAAAGGCTTTCAGTGTGGTTCATGCTCAGTCAGAACAGGCAGCTTCACTGAGTCCACAAAATGTAGAAACTGAGTGTGATGAACAACAATTTTGTCTCTCTCTGGTCAGCAAATTTAATTGCAGGAGGGTGAGCTCTTTTCTTAGATGAAATGTGTAGTCTCCTGTGACTATTTTAATTCTGCAACATCTGTGCGTCCTGAAATGATTAATAGTGTATGGTGTATCTTTTGGCTATGGGTAAAATGTAAAGTGAAGTGAATGAATGTCTGAGGGACTGCCAGTGTTTTTACCTCTGCCATAGAGCAGGTGAAAAGGATGTCAATAGGATAGCAAAATCAATGTAATCATAAGATCAATGTACATAATCTTATGTAATCGATTTGCAATGTTATGTAATGTCGAATTTATCAGAAAAGCTCTACACAGTTATGAGAGGTTGTGGGTGGTAGATGGAGGAGCAGGACAGTTCATGTATGTATGCATGTAGGCTACTATATATGCTTGGAGGGTAAGTTTTGGTATAGCGAAGGCCACAATACAGTCTGGATAAAAGCTTAAACTGAGATCATATCACTTTTGTTGATGAAAAAAAACCTTGTACAGTTTCTACAAAATAATTGAAGTAAGTCTGACCAACAAACTGGACAAGAATGTGTATTGCGTCACTCACACTTGTGTGACAAACAAAGCGGACTAGCTTGTAAAAACGTTGCTACAAGTGGTCAAAAAACTCCATATGTTGCTTTTAACATACAAGCACATAATATACAGAGAATATACTTACCAATACTCTCTCTTTTCCTCCTTTATAACTTTGGTCTTCCTTATTACGAAGCTTCACAGATCAGCTGAGCTTGACAACTTGACAACATGAACACTGTGCAGTTTACTGACACATCACATTACTTTTTAGTACTGACGTTTGAACCTCTCAGTTACCTCTAATGTTGTAATTCCAACATGCCTAATGTGGCTTTGCAACTACCACAACCAGAGATATATTGCAAGCGTCAGCTCCCCAATACACATGGATATTCATCTGCCACACACTGTACATAACTCTTAGTAAATAATATGGTCTGTGTAATGAGCTCTGTATGATATTCTGTCATCATAAATACTGGATAAGTACTGCTGTGGACAACCATGATCATCACTGTCTACAGTCAACCCTCTACATTGTGCAGTGATCCTCTTTTCATTGCCATAGTCTTGTGGAAATGTCTTCAGTCGATGTTGTGTTACCGTAGACAGCCCCACACAGTATTTCCATCATCATAAAGTAAAGTCTTTTCTGTAAGATGCCCCGGACGGGGGCAAAAAGCACTGAGTTGTCCAACTGTCCTGACACAAGTCATTGTTGATTTCACTGTTGTAGGGGAAAGACTCTAGGGCTGCAGATAAGACTGTTGCCATGGTCCTGAAGGAGATACCAAGTAAGGCGTCATCAGAAGGGAAGCCCCTCCTCACAGTGACTACCAAGGTGGGCAGAACCATTTCAGAACACCTCCCACCCCCACCCTCTCTCCGCCCTTCTCCCCTGCCTCCAAGTGGAACGTCCTCCTGTGTTGGTCATACTGAACAATAGCAAAGCTTTGAGTGTCCTATAACTGACCTCCACTGTCTACTAACTCATTACTTAAGCCTTATGACTGTTGTATCTAACATAGAAACAACAAGAATTCATTTCCAGCTGCTCTATGGGGTATAAAACCCTTCTACTACATCACCACACTTACACAAATAGTGAATAATGATTTTATGATCTACAGAAGCAACTACAAATTGCTGCAATTACACATGTTACGTTTTATCTTTTCAAATTAGCCTCTGAAAGATTCATACTGCTCTTCTAGTTAACATTTATTGTGCATTTTGGATGTATGGGCAGGGGGGATTAACCAGAGGGTCACACAAATTTCCTCTCCCATTCCAAATCAAGTCAGAAAAACTTTCTCATGAACTTTTTACACCTCATAAGCAGCTAATCCTCCGCACAAAACAGTGTATGAATGCATTTCCAAAATGCTATGCTACACAGCATGGCATTGAGCTATTGATTGAGCCCTCTGTGTACAAAATACTGCAGCAAATTACTGTTTACCCGCTGCTGAGCTTTTCACTTCTCTTTTGCTTTTTAAGTGTTATAGCTGGATGGGGTCGGTGCTCCAGATGCTAATATGAGTTTTCTTGCTCTGTGCTTGATTGCTTTTGTACAGTATGTGTGTGTGTGTGTGTGTGTGTGTGTGTGTGTGTGTGCTGCTCTGTGTGTCCTCTTGTATATCCATCTGTGTTTTAATAACATGTAGCATGCTTTATACTTGTTTTACTTTCTAATATAATGTCTGGTTTGATAAGATGTCACACAACCAAGATAATGCTTCCTGTCAAGTGGAAGGGATTTCATTACGCCTCAGCACTTTTGCTGACGAAATGGAAGATGCTGAGTTCACACAATAAGATACGACTTGTATATTTTTAAAAGTATATAGTTCATTTTGTAATGTGTAAATCATTTGAATAACTGTATGGTAAGAGCAAGTCACTGAAGAACTGCTCTCTATAGTAACTTTAGTAGTTCCCTCGGATATAGATCCTGTACTTTACGTCAGGAGCCTAATGCACTTATACCTCAAGCCTTTTCTTCCGGTGCATCTATTGAATAGACACAATAGATTAGATTGCCTGAAGATTCTGCTTTTTCAGAGAAATCAATATTATCGACACAATAGGCCTATAATTACACGTTTATAACATTTAACCACCTGCAAAAATCCATACTTTCATCCTTCAGAGAACACAGTGACAGGATCGACAAAAAACATAAACATGTGCACTTTACTGCACCTTGTCTGATTCTTGCGGCACACTAGTGATTAAACCATTATCCAGGTTATGAAGGTTTTCAGCAAATATCAGAAAAGGCATTTCTTCAGGATAAATCTTCTGGTTTACAGGAATTGTTGCATTGAGGAGTTCCATTATGCTCGTGCAGTGATAGATACCACAGTTCAACAGAGGAACAAAGGAAAGGCACCTTTAGAAACTCGAATTTCATTTGCACTAATTTGCATAATGTGCTAAACATAAACAATGTTTTTAATAGACATTTATATAGTGTACATATTTCCATGACCATGTCTATCATAAATTAGAGTTATCAAATTGTTAACATTATGGATCTCTTACTAACTACATTTATATTGCATTTTTCACTAATTATGTATAAAGTGACAATAACGGCAACCCTCACAAGTTACAATACTTTAAATATCTTTTCTAATTTTTGTTGTATATGTTTTTGGTGTACCACTGAATTGTTTTGTTGGCTACGTATTTTATTTAAAGGTGACTGCAGCTGTGTGTAGCACTGTTACCTGTTGCCAAATTTCCCCTTGACGACAATTAAGTATATTTTATCTTACAATCCAACCAGAAGAAACCAACACGGCAAAAGCTAAGCCATATTGTAATTAAACAATCAACATGATAAAGGGCATATACGACACTATATTGGGTGTAAAGATTTACCGACATAGGTACATGGACACCTGGAGTTATTTAAATGTACCATGAACCGGTCGATGATACGATTCTAAATCAATGAATCGGTTGACTGAAGCTTTGCTGCTAACAGGTTAACGCGAGGGTCTTGCAACAAGAGGCAACAGGAGGCCACACTGCCTGGTCCTAAACAATGGCAATATATTAAAATCCAGTGTTTTTCCAGTATATTATGCACTGTTCTCAAGCACATCCCATCTAAAAACACTGTAACTCTAAAATTCCGTGTTTTAGAAATGAAGAAAAATAGCTTTGTTTTCAAACTGATAACTGACTTAAATAGGCTTCAAACACGTTTTATTAGCCTACAGTAAAATGCTGTAGACTGCTTGTAATCCTTTAACATACCTGCAAACATGTCATCGCTGTCAAGTGACGGCTCAGAACTGCAGTACAAAAACAACACAGCAACAAACTATAGAGATGCCGCCAAAAACCAAAATCTTGAAAATGATCACAGTTCAGACTGGCCCATTGTATGCACTACACAAACTCTTCATCACATGCAAGCACACAGTCAGCATTGTTTAGCTAAGAGCAGTTGGTAAATATTTTATGCCAGGTTAGCAAGAGGGCGAGTAAAGCAAGCATCAGGAAAAAAAAATGTCATTACGTAAAGAATTTCACCTTCATCTTTCTAGATTCTACGAGTCACCTCTCGCTTACTTGTTTGGTTAAAACCATTTAAAAAGCAAACACAAAATTGAAGAAACTTCAGCGTCAAGCTGATCACTTGACGTCGTTTCCATGTGGCCAGACACAACTCATGATTGCTGTGCTCTCCAGTGGCTGAGGATGCAGTTTGAGGGGCATCATGTCCCAACTTGATGTCACAAAGCAAGTGACAGAGGCTAAGTGACAGGCTGTGGCTCCTCACGCCACATGTCAAGTAGAGTCAAGTCTGTTTGTAATGCCCAATATCACACACAATATCTCAAAGGGTTTCACAGAGCCAGAAGTCTCAGCCCAGTCTAAGATCTCTGAGAAGATAGGGAAAATTCAAAGAAAGCCGAGCACATAAAAAAATGGAAGCAGCATGAAACAAGACTTCATCTAACTATCTATTATTGTGTTAACTGTCATCCCCCATTCCTTGGTGCCACTGAGGAGGAAGAGAAAATAGTACGTGAAGACAACCCTTACTGTAATTTTCAGCTCAGATGTCCCAAATTAACTAAAGAGTAAATGTGCTGCTAGCTGTGAAACACATAACTTAATCTGTACAAAATCAAATCACTCTTTACTAGGAACTTAGGGATTGTATTACTGTATGTAGAATTGATTTTCTGCTTAAAGGATAAGGCTGGTGAACAAATGCACTATTTGGTCCTGTTTCAATGATAAAACTATAACAATAAAACTGTATGTTTGTGAACAGAAGAACAGTAGTGTTCGCTATACTTTTTCATAATTTAATTTTCAATTTTTCTGCCTAAGGACAAATCACGTAAAGCCATTATGATGAGTCATAAAATACCCAGCTAACTGAACTCCAGTATGCAGACCCGTGGGAGTACATGGAACAGTTCATTGCCACCCACAATAACAGCTTCAACACAACTGTAATGAGTAAACAACCTGCTGCATAATAGAGAAGATTTACAGAGATATCAGAATCAAGCCAACACAGTTTTAGTTTGTTTTTTTTACAGATACTGAAGAGTTAACTGTGATATAATTGCTGATCACATCTCTTCATGTGACCCACACGTACTGCAAGATGTTGGCTGTAATTATTGTTTCAGGACAACCTTCTTTAACACAGCCCCCAGGTTTTATCTAACAACTGCTTTGATATTTTTTATCCACTTTTCCCTTTATGTAGTGTTTTCCATCCTCTCCACCTCCTCCTGTCCTCACCTCAACCTCCCCGCCTTCAAAGCTCTGTCAAGTTTAACTGGTACACAGTTCCCTTAACAGCAACATCTGAGAGATCTCTTGGAGTCAAGCCCAAGCGGCACAATTAGCTGAAGTTTTCCATTACATAATTTTCTAGATGACTCCTTAAAGCACTTGTAAACAAAGTGCCAAAGTGCTTTGCATAGGAGAGAAGCAAAAAGTGTGTAACAGGAGGAAAAATAACAGTATGGGAAATCGGTAACCTTCCTCATAGTGAGAGTAATGGGCAAGGAGCTCAGAAAGCTGCTCTCTTGGGTTAAGAGTGAACCTATAATTGGCATTTGCATGCTACCTGCTACCAAAGTGCCCGACGCATCTCCCCAGATGAATGTGGTAGATCTTCTGTCCCCATTTTCTGGATGATTAGAAGAGGAAAATGCAGAGTCTCATCATCGCAAACCCATTATTTAAAATTGGCCCCAATGGCAATCACAGGAAGTGCTTTGAAGAACATCCACGACAATCATGGAGTGTGTAGTGCGGATAACACAGTGTCCTCCATTAGGACACTGCCTAGAAGTGATGTACAGATATATCCTTGATTCCTACAGATATTACTCAACTTTCAGGCCTAACGTAGCAGTGAAGTGTGAGCGCTTTATTATTCATTCCTATTATTAAATGCAACAAACAGCCATTATTAAAGCACTGTGTTAGTCATTATGAAGGTCTGCAGCCCTGCTAGCTGCTCTGTGAGGCTGTGCTTGGATACAGCAGTTATCTGTGCTAAATGCATCAATATGCTAACATGCTCACATGACAATGCAAGCATGCTAATGTTTAACATGTTTAACGTGCTCTACCATCCCTTGAGTACCTGAAATGCTGGGCCTCATGCTGGAACCACTGGTACAAACATATTTGTTCTTAAGTGGCTTGTACGACTGATTTAGGAGAACTTGCAGCAATTTCAGCAATTTTCTCTTATTTTGAATTTTGTCTTAGGTACAAGTGGGTGGTTCAGACTACTTGTATTCTTTCGTCTGTCTCTGTTGCGGACTTCTTCTTGGAATGGTTTGA